TTTTTATCGCAGACCTGTGTAATTGCTTTCTTTCTTGCTTTAGAAGTGTCCCACATTTTTTGCATAAAGATGAAGAAGTGAAAAGCGAAAAACTTCATTTTTCAAAAATTAACCTCTCGTTGATATGTACCCCTTTCAATTCAACAGTATTTCGTGATCCTCTTGCAGATTCATAATCTTCCATGATCAAAATGTACCAGATCTTTTTTTAAAATTGAAAATGAATTTAAAAACAGTTAGGAGACGTTTTGAATGGTGTTTAGGAACGATAGGATGTAATACACAGTGATTGAAATATTTAATTTCCACACTGTATGTATATTACCAAAATTCGCTTCTGTAGGCCACCTGTAAATGACTTTGGGCATAATTAAGCAAACAAATTACGTCTTACCACGTAAGATAGATCCCTTTATCTAAAATTTTCAGTATCCAGACTCAATTCATCAGATTTCGGATCATCCTGGGAATAACATTACATGAAACTCATTAAGTCTGGGAAGTTCTTCCACGTGACTCACACGGCGTAGTTGTCAGCTGAAACAGTAGGGCACAAATACCAGAATGGACCACTTATTGATCCGTATTTGGTATACCAGAGTGCTTGCCGTGCGAAAGTTTTTGAACATTGGCGTCCTCAAAACGATCAAAATCTGAATATGTGATGGATTTGGCCGACTCCCAATGAAAATCCATAACGTTTTTCATTCAAATAACACTTTATTTGAATGTAACACGTGTTTTATTATATGATAGGTTTCTTAGAAGTATTGAATGGAAATCTCAAAATGGAGTGCTACAGTAATATCTGTAAATTTCCGTTTCCATACCCAAGCCATTATTCACTGCGATAGTAACTATTATTCTGAACTGTTACAAGAAACATTGACGAAGTCAATTTATTCTATCATCCATAGATGCATATATTCTTTTTTTATCGATACGAACTTCTAACGGTGAAACTTGGATCAACAAAGATTGCGAGAACCCTGTACCGCAAAATCCCAATACCGAAAATCGAACTAGGTTTGTTAGTGCTCGTAACAGCTGTACACTTGAAATGAAAGAAAGAAAGTACTTCAAAATCAGAAAATAAGGGAATAATTGCTTGCTTATCCTAACGGATCTAGATCCGTCTGGTCGGTAGCTGAACAAAACTCTACGAAATCCACAATTTCAACACTAACACAAGCAGATGGTTCAGTTGCAACAACTATGGCTATGACAGAACCACAGTGAACAATGACTGCATGAATATTATAATAGTGGTCTGCTAGATTGAAGTGTACACCTGCTTCGAACCTTCGCAACAGTTTGGTGCTTCCGTCCGGGGTTGAGTCATATTAGAAGATCATTAGTGCTATCATTAGATTGACTGGTACCTCAGCTGTACTTGTTTCCTTCTAACAGTCAGTTAGTTTGGCGCATGTTTGGCAATACAGTCGATCATCACCCGTTAAAAGTTCCTTTTCAGATAATTTAACAATAAACTTTGCACGGACTGGTTATATTAGAAAACGCGAATTGAAGTTCCAGATATTCACATACGTTTCTGCTGCCTCTCTCCAGCAGAAGATTTACAAACACAAGACGAAATAGACTGTACGGAATCATTCAACCCAGAGCGGTAAGAAGAATTGATTCTGCTATTGTTTTGCTCACGAAGAGTATTCAACAAGAATCCCAAGAGATTGGAACAATCCTTTTGTTGTCCTAACGAGTATCTAGTAGACTTCAAAGACTCCAGGAAATCGGTTGGAGGAAAAGATGGTACATTCTTACGAAACTGCAGCTGCATGAACAGGTGTTTAAGTTTGGTGAATAAGTAGAAAACATTCTCGTTCATCATCAAAACCTCGTCTGCACATCTGTCTGATTAGAGACATGAACATCATTTGAAACCTCTAGTGTGAAACATCGAAGAAAGGTTTGAGATTTGTCTTTTTTTATAGATACTTTCACGTGTGGTGTTCCAGTGACTTGGCACATTGGATTCCACCGAGAGCGGTACATATCAGAAGGACTGTGGCTGCTCATCGTTTTGAGGTTCAACTCAGTACACTTTCAACTTAACTGTTTACGTTTAGATAGAATAAACTTTCTGGGAACGTTTTTCAGAAGAAATTCATTTCCAGAGATTCAAATCTAACGTGAATCGTTACTTTTGCACAGGAACCGCGCTCTTAGAGCAGCCTAAGAGCCTTTCTGTTGGGGTTGTGTTTTGTACTCACAAAAAAGTTATTTTGGATAAATAATAATAGGTATTACTCAGCGATTGATAGGGTTCGTTATATGGGTTGAACGCAGGAGAATAATCGAGATCGCTAAGAAGATTCGTAGGCTTCTCATATCAGATAGTATCAAGAATATACCATTCCTTTTATTTTGTGTTACGATTTGAAAAATCACCCCCTCATGTAAAAATGCACAGACATCATTTCAGGTGGTGCTTGTCTTCTGAAATGTATGTTTGTCTTTAACAAACATTAGCAATGAAAAACTGAATCGATTTTCCTAAATGTCATTGAAATAGACTTGCCATCCAAACTGATTTACCCATTACTAAACAGCATTCATTATCATACTATCATACAAGATTTGACTGGATTTAGTTTCAGGGAATAGTATATTACGCAACTAGGGAGAAAAGTACGGCATTCTCGCCCAAAATTTTGTCGTCCGAGCCGAAAACGATTTTTTCCCACTTCTCGGTGAAAAGTTCGATCCTTTCGTTGACTTAGCATTTTTCATTGACAGTTTGAAAATGTAACTGTCATCACGTATTTCACGATGTCATAGACACTTTGATAAACTATAAATATATTTAAAATACTTCCAAAATACAAATCGTGAAATTATAAAACAAAAACAAAAATTAATTGGCGCTCCGGGGAAACTTCATTGATTTCAGTGATTCCAATATGCCAGCTGCAGGAAAACCCGGAAAAACCTGCAGCACCACATCATCTCAATATCTTAATCTGTCAATGTCCCCTCTCTTATAAAACAAAATGTAGGGTGTATTTTCAGAGGATCCAATAAATTCAATACTTTCCAAGAACACTGATTGACACGACTATCGTCCAACTTAAAGCAGTCCGTTTCGTCTTTGACCAAGGCGTATTAATGACCAGATTCAATGCCAGAATCACAGTGAACAATGACTGCATGAATATTATAATAGTCGTCTGCTAGATTGAAGTGTTCACCTGCTTCGAACCTTCGTAAAGTTTGGTGCTTCCGTCTGAAGTTGAGTCATATTAGAAGATCATTAGTGTTATCATTAGATTGACTGGTGCCTCAATATAGTTGTTTTCTTATAACAATCAGTTAGTTTGGCGCATGTTTGGCAATACAGTCGATCAATACCCGTTGAAATTTCCATTTTTAGATGATTTAACAATAAACTTTGCACGGACTGGTTATTAGTTATATTAGAAAACGCTAATTGAAGTTCCAGGAATTCACATACGTTTTTGCTACCTCTTGAACATTTACTACAAAGTAGTCAAGTGAGGATTTCTCCAGCAGAAGATTTACGAACACAAGACGAAATTGACTGTACGGAATCATTCAATCCAAAGTGGTCAGGAGAATTGATTCTGCTATTGATTTGCTCACGAAGAGTATTCAACAAGAATCCCAAGAGATCGGAACAATCCTCTTGTTCCGAACAATTATCTTGTTGTCCTAACGAGTATCTTGTGGACTTCAAAGACTCCAGGAGATCAGTTGGAGGAAAACATGATACATTCTTACGAAACTGCAGCTGCATGAACAGGTGTTTGAGTTTGCTGAATAAGTAGGAAATATTCTAGTTCTCGTTCATAACTTTTCCCTCGTTCTTGAAATTCTTCCTCATGAACAACACTTGTAAAATGATATTCATGTAGCAAGTGTTTCTTTAATCACCTAATCCAATTTTCTTCTCTAAATTTTCAGGACCTCTGTCTATTGATTCATTGGAAAGAACATGTTTCACAGAATCTGCAATCGATTCTTCCAAGTGATGAAGTGATGAAGGGTTTCGTAAAGGGATCGATTCGGCTCTTGCTTCATGAAGCTCTTCCACTGGAAGGCAACCAGAACTACGAGGACTGCAACTCATATTTGAGGGGCAAGAATGACCTAAGTTCACTGACCGCACTGAAAAAAAAGAAGGTGGATCAATCACTTGCGAATTAACCTTGATAGAAGACCGATGAATATCTACATATATCGGCTTGTTTCGAAGAGATGTTAGTTCCTTACTGAAATAAGGGCAATGCATGATCTCATCAAAATTATGTGAAGGAGGAATACTTTCAAGGACCGAAGCAGCAATACCAGGTTGAATAGCAATACTAATTCTTTTTACCAGAAAAGAGATTATATAACCGGGAGAGAACGAGGCACTTTTGTTCCGTATACAGGAGACGAAAAGCGAACTTTTCATCCCGCAGTGAGAAAAAAAAGGTTTTGACTTTCTGCTTCTCCATCTTAAACGTAGTTTGTTTGAAAAACCATTCTTTTTCGAAAAGCCGTTTGGTTATTTTTTTCGAATATTCTGAATTTTATTATTCTGCGAAGTTAACCTATGTAGTCGTGAATAAAACCCAATCACGCCAATATTTTATTGTCAAATTTCAATAATCCATTTTGATTCATACGCTGACTTTTATGCTTCCTCTCTAGAGTACTTTTTGAAAATTGGCCTTTTTTTAATTGTTATATCCTGTAGAGGGGTATTGCAAAGTTGCATTAACATATTCTTGGGGTGCTATAACAGATATTTCGTATATAGATATTTCTTCCCGATATTCAAACCTTTAAAACTACCCCTCTGGAAACCCGTCAACAAGCTACCCCTACCTCAATCTCGTCGTTCTGAACGAAGTAAAAACCAACATTCTCACCCCAAACGTCTCATCTACAAGCCCGAAACTCCCACATAACACTCTGTCCCTTCTTTCGCCGACCTCAACGCTCAACTCACGGGGTGGCACGCAGTCAGCGCTAACTCCGTTTTCCAACGTGCTCGCCGCACAGTCGTGCAGATCAACGCGAACCATGGACGAGGACGACTCCAAGAAGGGCGATGAGGAAATCACCCTCAAGCCCAAAATGACCCTGATGAACGGGATCACCGTCATCGTGGGCAGCATCATTGGATCGGGGATTTTTGTGTCGCCTTCGGGAGTGCTCAAGAATACCGGGAGTGTGAACATGTCTTTGATTGTGTGGACGATATCGGGGGTGTTTTCAATGGTGAGTGAGAATTGCATCATTCTTGTAGGGGAATTAGGTTTTCCAGCAGAGATTTCAATGATTCACGAACAGTCTTGTTCGTCTGAGCTCAAGAATTAGTTGTTTTCTAGAGTTGAATTTGAGGTGGCTCTTTTTTGGATGGAAATCGAACGTGAAAATGAAATTAGCAATTCTCCTGGAAAGTAAAAACAGAACTGAAATCGAAAACAATCAGTTGGACTTTGAACCAAAACTTTGCATTTCTATATTTTTGGGAAGTTTCCCTTTTTGAATAGATGCACGTTCGACAGATTTCTTAAACGAAGAAACTGTAATAATTGTATACATACAACTTTTTGTACAGTTATTTATCAGATAGTGAAAACAGTTTTGAACTTTATTGTGTACTGAGTGTTCCCAGAACTGTGACCTATGGTGTTCATCAAGGCACTGTGCTGGGGCCACTTCTTTCCACTATCTACATGAATAGTCTGTTTTATTCAGATACCATCAAGAAACTTCAGACAATCCTGTTCAGATTCAGATTTCTGAGGAAATTCCTCCCCATTAAAGAATTAAAAAATCTTTATTATGCGCTGGTTGAAAGTCATTTGAAATATGGCATTGTAGCCTGGGGAGCTGCTCTACGTACCCATCTCAACCCGTTAAAAATCCTGCAAAGGAAAATACTTAAAATTATAATGTTCAGAAACAATCGCTATTCCTCGGACGAACTATACAAGGAATGTGAAATAATGGACCTTAGACAGCTTCATTTTTACAACGTGCTCGTCAAATACAATTCCAACAAAAATCAAATGAAACCAGTTACTATACAAGAAATTACAAGAAAATACCGTATCCTATCATACTGAAAAAGTCAATTTCACAAAGAGCATTTTCATACACATCAACCAAATTCTACAATATTATTTCTGATGAAATCGAAAACAGTAACCGCACTTCAATTTTCAAGAAGAATTTGAAATAGTTTATATTCGAAAAACAAAGACAATATGTGATAAATATATTAGAATAAAACGTATACCAACCAATTATGCTATATTACCCTAGTCACATTATATAAATTTTATACAAAGCTTATTATTATTTTTACATTCTGTCAACATATATTGGTTTATGCCCTTGTTTTATTTCTTTTTATATTATTTGTCTTGTGCCGTATTCTAGAAATTATACTTATTGTTATCATAAACAGGCACCCTGTATTAAGTTTACACGAATCTTATTATTATTATTATTGTTTTATTTATATTTTCTGTCAACCTATACCGTCATGTCTTTTCAAATAATTTTTTGTTTGTTTTTATGTTACATTTTATTTGTCTTGTAGCATATTCTATAAATTATACTCCTTGTTACACAATAACGAAACAAGTGCAATAGCGCTTATCGTTCAAGTCTTTATTCCCACCACTGGAAAAGCTATCAGTTTCGTCGATGATACTGTCATTTTGTACACTTCTTCAACTTGGCAAAATATGAAGCAAACCGTTGAAGATGATTTTCCTAAAATTTCAGAATGTTTCCAATTCAGTAAATTAGTTGTTGATTACCAAAAAACTTGGTACTTATCATCTACGTCTTATATTAGCGGATTACCGAACTTAGGTATTCTTAGAGTAGGCTTGAATGAACAAATTCCTTCAACAACATCGGTGAAATACCTTATTGTCGCGATAGATCGATATATAGAGTGGAATATACATATGCAACAACTTCTAAAGAAATTAAGAGGGTTTTTTCGGAAATTTAGATGTCTCAAACAATTTATGGACATTATACAATTTAAAATGATTCATTTCTCCCTAGTAAAATCACATCTTACATATGGAATTTGGAGGGGAGGGTTTTTAGTGATTGTTTTACAGTAAACGCAAAAGTGGTTTAAAAATGGATTCTAAAACTAATATTTGCCAAGACACTGACTTGGCAAATTTATAAATTATTTAAAAAAAGCTCAAATCCTGGACATCAAACAACTTTTCTGTATGAAAATATTATTACTCATTGAAAATTAAAAAATTATATTACAAGTTCATGAGCATGCTCATAATACACGAAAGAATGATTTTATATTTTTAGCCCGATATGACACAACGATTGGACAACGAAGTGTCAATTACTTGGCACTAAGAATATATAACCAAATATCTCATGAGATTCAGAATATTAAAAAATTTAGAAAATTCAAAAATTCTTTAACTGAGTGGATTATCAAGACGGGACGCAATATTTTCATTGATATTATAAATTCTAGGTGAGTATTTGGAAAAGCATGGGTATCTCCTGATTATGTTATTTACCTCCTGATTATGTCATTTACAGAAGTGTGAAATTTATTCTACATGTCACTTATCAAAAAACGCAAATATGACTTTACCTGGATGTGTCATTATACCACGTACACACAGTTCGAACTGCTTCTGTGATTATTCTGTTTATTTCTTTTTACATATGTTACATTGTTTTGTGAGATTTTATTTTATTATGCAACAGACTGTTGGTTGCCACTGGAAGTCACAACATTCTGGAAATGACCTCTGACTTTATGCCTCCAACTGTGAAGTACAAACTACCTTATAAAGTACTGTTCCAGAGTACTGTTCCGGAAGAAGGGAATATTGAGAGCAGATAGTTGTTGGTTCACAGATGGATCAACAACACCTTTCGGTTCTGGTGCAGCTGTTTTCAGTCGCAGACCCAGGACAGATATATCAACCTGCCTAGGAACCCATGCGACTGAATTTCAAGCGGAAATTTACGTTATTGAATTGTACAAGTCAATAAAACTATTCTCGAACAGTCAAGCGACGTTGAAAGCTCTTGGTCTCTACCGAGCAACGTCTAAATTGGTAGCGAATTGCCAACAACGACTCTCCTCAATAGGAAGACTTAGATTGTCTCTGGTCTAGATTCCTGGCCATACTGGCATGGAATGAGGCTGCTGATTCCCTTGCAAAGGAGGGTGCTGCACTAGAACCTGTCTTCGGCATCGCTTTAGGCTTTGCCAAATAAAGATTGAACACCTGGATGGCAAAAATATTCATGGACTTCTGGAGCAGAATCTTCCAGGATTGGCTCACTCCACGGCGTTTATTCACCCTTCGAAGCTTGATACCAAACAGTTGTTGGACTACAGTAGGGATGAACTACGATGTCTAAAAGGCCTTCTTACAGGTCACTTTCATTTGAATCATCATATGCAGAGACTCGGACTGTCGGAAGACAGTATGTGTCGCCTCTGTTTGGAAAATTATGAAACAGCAGAGCACCGCTGGGGACCGAATATCAGGTTTTGAGAGTTCGCCAGAGCTGAACTCTTACCATCTGACCTGAAAAACCACTCACCATACAAATTAACCGGCTTCGTTAAGAAGCTGGGTATATTTGATTGAGTGTGAATAGGTGTGAGCCACAATAAACCCTTGCGAGTGGCAGTGGAGGGTCGAATGTATCCCACTCACTTTGGAGCTAACCTGACCTTACCTACTCACCGCATGTGTACAACTGTGAAAAATCTTCCAGATTTGTTGTATTATAACATACACCAATGTTGAATGCATGTAATAAATACTCAATTATGTACGCCTATGAAACAGCAACTTGAAAATGGTTTATTATAGCGCAACTTAAGAAATATAGTGTAAATATTAGGTGTTTATGAACAAATTGACATTGTTCGAAAACAGTATGGGAATATGCGTTAACTCACCTGCCCATAACGAGAATTATGATTGCAGTTCCATATTACTTCAATGAAACCGAAATTTCATCATGCTCTCCCCAAGTTTAGTATACAATACTTAGACAGGGGAAGCAAGTCACAGCGACATTCAGGGTACTTGCTATGCAAGATTATAGAAAGCTTAGGATCCATGGGGACGGTTGTATTGAAAAGAATACGGTCCCTTTTACCACTTGCAAACTTCATTGTTCGAGACACGGCCAACCAGTATTTATCGCAGCAGAATGATGTACAGGATGTCAAATGACAAGCGGAACACATTGGACATAAGCCATTATCTTATTGATAGTGCTGTATTTTCGATTATACCGCCAAATGTTTTGGGACGATTTTTTTTTGAGCTGAGTTGGCTTTCAAATCAATTGATAGTTTCAAATGATACTATAGAATAATTTTGTAGAACTGGAAAGCAATTTATATTTGCGAACTCATATTTACTGATCGAACTTCCACAGTCTCAAAGAATATGAAAATAGTAATGCCTGTCAAAAATTACACAGGCCACAAAAAATGTTTTCGAAAACTTCGTTTACTTTAATAGCTGATTTCAATAGATTATTGCGGTAACGTTTTTCCATCAATTTAATATATTCGTGGAAACGCTCACCCCGTTCCTCACTCACATCTCCCAAATTTTCCGGGAAGTAATCAAGATGACTTCAAGAATTGGACTTTCAGGCTCATCAAACATCCTAGTTTCTTGAAATTATTTAACATGTTAGCTACAATGGTACGATATTCTGGATCTTTTGCATTTCCTAAGAATTTTGTAACAACTTGCTAGAATGATACCCATGCTTCTTATTCATGCATGGTCATTGTGGTTTCAAAGTTCACGTCGAACATCATTTTTTGAATGTCGGGTCCAACAAAGACACCTCTTTAAGTTTAGCATCTGAAAGGTTTGGAAATTTCTGACAGAGATACTTGAAACAAGGTTCATCTTCAGGCAATGCCTTTACAAACTGTTTCATGAGGCCTAACTTTATATGTAGAGGTGGTAAGAGAATGTTTCTACAATCTACAAGGTTTTTGTGAAGAATGTTCTTTCCGCCGGGTTTTAAAGACTTCTTCACAGTCCAGTTCTTTCTGCATCAATGTTGATCCCTTGCTCTACTGTCCCATTCAAACAAAAAACATGGAAATTTGGTAAAACCACCTTCCTGACCAAGAAGCATGCATGTTTCTTTCAAGTCACCACATATCACTCAACCATCCATCCACTATTTCTAGGTTTTCATAGGTCTCTTTC